ACTAGTTGAACTTATAGAAATACAATTGGCCAGATATTCTCAACACAGGGCTCAGCAGTGCTGCAGTAATGCCAACACTGTGGTAAGATGAATGGAAACAGTTAATAGAACAGACAGGTAGTAATTAGGAAACAAATGGGAAGATGGAGTAATGATGCCATGGGGCAATTCTCACCACTCCCAGATTTTTCTCCACATGCACTAGGGTAGGTATAGCTATTCCAAGTATATAAGGCATTCCATTTCTCAACATCTAGTTGCCATAAATCTGGTGAATCTGACCAAATCAAGCCAAAATCCAAAGGGTGTAGAAACAAGTTAATTTGCATTTCAAACACTGCTAAGCCCATACTGTGTCAGACCAAGCAACTGTATCTGTAGATGATTTCTACAAATAATCCCTGGCAGTGAAGTTTTTAATAGCATTTACATGATTTCACTTAAGCAGTTCCAGCCAACTGATAACTTATCTTTGAATCCCTGACCTATTAAAGATTTCTCTTCCTAAATGGGAAATAGGAACAGACTGCCTCCTACTAATTAATCAATAATGACAGAGTAAACTAGCCATAACTTGATTCTTATAGATGTTTTGGTCTACAACACTCACCAGCATGGTCAACATATGACATTATCAGAGTTCTCAACAAAAACATTTGAACGACACTTGGTTGTTTAAACTCTGGGACAAACAAATTATCTACCAAGAATTCTATTAGTTGAAAAGATCCTAATGTCAAAAAAAGAAATGCTTTTATTTCAACTTTATTACCTTAATGGATTTTCTGTAATAAGGGAGAAACAAATGGAAGCCACTGTGGATAGACACTAGAGCATTACGAACAGAAGGCAATTTCAGATTTTAAATTTCATAAAGGAGTCAGTGTGACTGTCACAAGTGAAACTGTTTTCTAGAAGTACCTGGTGTATGTTTATGCTTTCTACTTCCCGGAATCCCTCCCCGCTATGAAGCCTAATGCACAGTAAGATGCAGTTAGATCAGGGTTTTGCCAGCTAACCTAATCTCTGCTTAGCTTCAACAGTTCAGCTCAGGTTAAACAATTTTTTTCTTGATTTAGGGAAGAATATTTCAACAAAGTTTTAAAATTCAGTTCAAAGGGACTATATATACTTCAAAACATCTTTGGGATACAATGGTGCTCAAGCAGAAAGAATATTAGACTTAGAACTGAAATGTAGGGGCCCAATTCTGACAAGGAACTGTACCTATTGTGAAACTTTCAACTCCCAAACATTGGTGAGGAAACTCAAGCGAGTGAGCATACATTATATTGTTTTTACACCCACTATAGCCATGTTGCTTGGACAGTATGAGAAACGAATTCCCATAAACATAAGGTAGTAAGAATATGATATCCTTTTTCCTCAAAAAAAAGTCTGACAAGTACATGATCGTGCACCACAAGAGCAAACCAAGAACGAAGATTAAAATCTGTGAATCCCAATTTTTGTATTATTATATGGTTTTATATTTTAGGGCCTTCACACATCATCACATGTGTAACATAGGGGATAAACACACTCCAAGTGGTTTAGACTCCAATTCCTTGAAGCCCTAGTTAGCTTGTGCAATGGTCAGGAATTCTGGGAGCTAGAGTACAAAACACCTGGAGGACCACAGCTTGTACAGGCCTGCTCTAAAGTCACCAGAACACTTTTAACATTGGAAGCTAAGTAGGGTGAGACTGTTGGTTTGGATTTGGATGAGAGACCACCACCGAAAACCAGGTCCTGGTGACTCTATTTCAGAGTACATTTGAGTATTACCTGTCTAAGAAAATCCTGTGATATTCATGGGGTCATCATATGTTGACAAACAACTTGAAGATCCATAGATACAAACATCTTTATCATGCTACTTCTCCAGGTGTTACCATATGGTACTATGTGTATGAAGTACAAATTCACTTCATTCATTGTTTGTTATGTCAAAATTATTTACAACTACAATATACTTTCAAGTCTGATTTGCACCTAGACTGTCAATGCACAGGTTATCACTGACTTTATACAATTAAAGGAGATTCTCTCATAAATCCAACTTAAACATGTGGTTCATATATTAATCATAACCATACAACAATAAAATTTTCTTCTGTCTTTTGGGGAGTTTGAGTTATTTACTCACCAAAGAACATTAGAAAAACTTTCTAACTTAGTAGCTAGCAAGAAATGGTTTAAATGAAGCAAGACTGAACTACTTGCTAACCCGACTAGTCCAAAAAGGATCTACTCAAACATCAACTTCAGTTGCATGTTTAAGAGATTTAGAAGCAATGGAAATGAAAACATAGATACATAAGCTGCTTAATCTCCCCTTCCCCTCCACCAATCCCTCTAGAGAAACATCAATTCTGCACAGAAAAAGGAAAATCAAACATATTCCACACTTCAATGTTACATCTGTCATTAAAAGCCTTCCTTCAAATGAGATCTGAAAATAAGATTAAACTGAGTGTCACATACAAAAGCGTTTGTTGAAACATTTTTAAAAACTGTGAAAGACAGGTTAGCCACACAATCATTGAGAATGCAAGAATAGTTCCTGTATGAAGTTTGGTCATCTTGTGGAATGTGGCTAAGTCAGTTTCTGAGTTGAGAGAAAATGTAGGACAGCTGGCACCCAGCCTGCAGAACAGAAAACTTGGCAGTGCTGGAAATCAGAATTTGCTAAGGAGGAGGAGCTCTTTCAATAACTATCATCAGTTGTCAGCTGTTGGGAAAAAAAGTACCAAGATTCCTGATGCATGCAATCTTACTGTGGTCAAAGACAGCAGACATCTCAATAATTATCTGCTGCCTATGATAGGGTGACTATGACACCAATTGATCAAGTGGTGGTTTTGGAAGGTAAGAAAACTATTAGAAATCTTTTGCATATCTTTCCATAAGTATCATGTAATGAATCATGCAATTCATTATGTACAGTGGGCCCTCTGTATTCACAGATTCTACTATTCATTGAAAATACTACAAACAAAAATCCAAAAGCAAATCTTGATTTCATCATTTATATAAGAGGCACCATTTTTGTATGCCATTGTATATAATGGGACTTGAGCACATACAGATTTTGTTATTCATGGAGTCCTGGAACCAAATTTTAGTACAGGGTCATGGGGGAATGTCAGAGGGGTCACCAAAGACCACCAGAAAACATAGTATTTTCTGTTGGTCATGGGGGTTCTGTGTGGGAAGTTTGGCCCAATTCTATCGCTGGTGGGGTTCAGAATACTCTTTGATTGTAGGTGAACTATAAATCCTAGGAATTACAATTCCTAGATGTCAAGGTCTATTTTCCCCAAACTCCACCAGTGTTCACATTTGGACATATTGAGTATTCATGCCAAGTTTGGTCCGGACCCATCATTGTTTGAGTCTACAGTGCTCTCTGGATGTAGGTGAACTACAATTTCAAAACTCAAGGTCAAAGCCCACCAAGCCCTTCCAGTATTTTCTGTTAGTCATGGGTGTTCAGTGTGCCAAGTTTGGTTCAATTCCATCATTGTTGGAGTTGAGAATACTCTTTGATTGTAGGTGAACTATAAATCCCAGCAACTACAACTCCCAATTAGCAAAATCATCCCCCCACCACCAATATTTAAATGTGTGCATATCTGGTATTTGTGCCAAATTTGGTAGAGTGAATGAAAATACATCCTGCATATCAGGTATCTACATTACGATTCATAGCAGTAACAAAATTAGAGTTATGAAGTAGAAATGAAAATAATTTTATGGTTGGGGGTCACCACAACATGAGGGACTGTATTAAGGGGTCAGGGCATTAGGAAGGTTGAGAAACACTACCTTAGTGGATATAAAGGACCACTCTATGCTTAAATTCAAAAAGCGTATTAGAACTTAAAACCAGAAAGGATTCTTACTAGAAAATCTTGACGAATTGTATGTTACAACAAAGGTCGTATCTCAAAAAATCACAGATACATTTCAACTGTGATAGAAATTTAAAAACAATACAACACTTCTCAAAGCAGGAAGGGTTGCCTGCAATGTAATTTTTTCAAAATGAGAATTTAGTCCACAGTCACAGAGCACTTTTACAAGAAGGAGTTGTATTCTAAGGAATTCTGAGATGCCATTGCCTTGCAAGAACTCCCTAGAAGCCAAACGAAACAGAACTAAACAAAAACGTAGTACAGCCTGTTTTTCATAATGCACAACAAACCTAAAGAGAAACATTCTGACAATAAACACTCTACAAAACAAATCACTAGCTGTCAAATATGGTGGTGGTAAGGCAAAAACAAAACAAAGAAACAAACCTCCACCTGCCATGTACTGTAGTTTAAAATACAAATTTTACCTGGTTTTAGCATGTGTGCTAACTGACCAATTAAACCATCACTGTGACATGAAATGTAAGTATTGAAAACCAAACTACTTATTTCACTGCACCCTGAGAACAGAAACCTAGGAATAATGTATTCAAATGCACAATTAATTTCTATGTTTGGCTTTAGCTAAATAAGCATGTTGAGTGTTCATGCAGCATTTCTGAACTTTGAATGAGAAATTTTAATGTATATTGGAAACCTCCACCCATGGTCACCTTTTAATTCTCTAGATCTGCTTGTAGCTTTTTGAACAAATATAATTTCAAATTAATTGTTTGTGTCAGGAATTTAAGTAAATATTCACTTTTACACTTCCTGAGACAGTGCATTAAGACCTTCTTTTCAAAATAGTCAAATGAGGCCAGTTTACATCAAAACGTTTGCAAGTAATCAAAACCAAACAATCACAACCCATTGCAAGTAATCGCAACCAATTAGGCCGATAGAACTATTCTCTGCTGTGTTTTCCCTCTTCCAAGAGTCTTTTAGATTGGAATGTCTCCTTTAATCTTCAGTAGCTGAACTGAAGCCATATAAAACACTACCTTTCCACCTCTTGTTGCCTTCGACCCTAGAGCAGCTAAGAGATGGTATCCCAAACAATGGAACTATAGACCATACCTGCAAACGGCAGAGGGCTGGAGTAGCTGCAATACAATCTGAGGTCTAGGAATTCGAGTTCTAACAAATCCAGAACTGCCATACTTTCCAGTTGTTTCCATTTTTTTTCTATAGGGAGCACAAATAGTTCCTTTCTAGTAAGAGAAGCAGCAACCAACTTATCCGTGTCTGTCTTCTAGCAGTCCCATAACATGAGAATTTGCTGGAACACCTTTGGATTGTTTAGCAGCTGACTGCAATGAAGACAGGCTGCGGCACCGCCCACTCATGCCTCAGGAATGCTGCTAATTGGGCAGCAAGGTCTACACCCTCTCTCTCTCTCTCTCTCTGAGAACAGAGAGATAAAAATCTAATCAACATACCCATGACTTCAAGTACACAGCCAGACGCTCATTCCAAGAAATTGCCATTGATTCTCTCATGCTTGGAACACAACAAGAGACCTGGCTCAGACAGGAGGATTAAAGTGGAAAGACAGGACTAGAGCTCTAAGAGATTTAGATCCAGAATTTCTGTTTGTTTTCTCTTCAGCTTAATAGTAGATCACTACACCAAATATATAGCCAGCTATGCAAACATCATCGCCACACAGTTTTTCTCAGGACTCTGGTACATGTCCAGAAGATCCAGAAAGACAAGGATGGAACACATACATTCACATAGACTATGGCTATGTATTTCATGGAGGAACAACCTGGGGGTGGGTTTCAGGCAACACAGGGAGGAGAAAGTTCAAGATGTGTTCTCAGCGCTATGAAGATTGCTAGAAATTGGAATTTTACCCAGTGAAACTCTAGCACTGGATACTCTACAGTCAACTACAATTGTGTTTGGGGGGAGATAAAGCCCGTGGCTCAGAAAGCTGTTGTTGTCCCCGTGGCCTCAAAAAAGTTTTTACATGAAAATGTCCCCAACAAGGAAGTGTATATAGCAATGCTATCATGTTTGGGGGGGGGGGGGCTATGTTAGGTCCTGGAGAGGCCCTTTTCCCATAGAAAGTGACCTGAAATAAGATGTTTGAATAATTCCAATTGGCAAAGAAAACCTCTCTTTTGTGCCTAAAGCAGCTAAGTCCCACAATGAGTAAAGGGAAGCATTTAGGCGCAAAATGTGTATTTTTAAAAATGTATTGAAGTTCTTCAATTCTAAGATTATTTTCCTATATGGGCATCACTAAAAATGGGGTGCATCTTAGAATCACAGATGTATTTTATGTATTTTTGTTGGTGGTGACACTGAAATTAGCATGCATCTTACAATCAATGGTGTCTTACAATTGAGCAAATACTGTATTGTTTATGGTCGTGGCAGTTTGTGTAGCTCAGCATTACAAATGCCCCCACATAACCGATGTTGCCTCCTAATCCCTCAAAATTGTGGAACACTGTAAAAATGCATGCAGTAAAATCAATTCAGTATATGACAAAAATAGTTTTTAAAGACTACTATTATATTAAATCATTTATCGCTTTAAACCAGTTTGTTTGTTTGTTTGTTTGTTTGTTTTAAATACAGTATGACCACTGTATCTACCTGAAACTGAAGATACCAGCAAATCCTGTAGTTTTACTATACTTGGGCTGGAAGTATATCACAGAATAGCTCTGAAGGATGTAAGAAGGCCCAACAATATTTCAGAAGGGGGATTTTTTGTAGTGTAGTTATGTGAAACCATGGATATAGAGTCCACAGATAAGGGTGTCACACCGTAATATCAAATGTAGCACATGTGCAAACTGGATAAACACGGTAGGGTATTTCATAACAGGGGTGCCATGGAAGAGCAGGTTATCTCCTATTTTTCCCATAATGTGTTATTGTCTGCTCTGGTATCATCAAGAGGCCCTCTCTGACAGACTTCAATGCAAGAGAGACATTTCCATGGGCCAGGAGATCAGGGACCAAAATTAAGGGTATTGCCCATACAAATCTGACAAAGGCTTCATTTACACTGACCATATAATCCAGTTTCTGGATGCAGATTATTTAATTTAAACTGGATTATATGAATCTACACTGCCATACAATCCAGTTTAAAGCAGATAATCTGAATTCAGAAACTGGATTATATGGCAGTGTAGATAGAGCCAAACCCTCCCTGGAGTTTCAGGCAGGAGTCTCCCCAAATCCTAGTAGGACATGCTGATGGAATTTGGGATTTTTGAGATGCAAGCCATGTCCTCTCTCTCATAGCGATGGTCCTCTCTCTCATAGCGATGGCCCCAGTCATATACTGAACAACCTACACATCCACAATGATGCCTGTCACATCCACAGAACAAATTTTCTTCAGGTAGACATGTGGCTACTGATGTCACAGAAAAACAATGTAATTGATATGAAGGCATGGAAGTTTTCTCTGCAATGGAGCATATGTAATTCATGGCTGATGCACTGATGAACACATACATGACCTGGTCAGTAGTGCAATCATTTAGTAAATATGTTCCCAGCTTATTAAGTTTTGACTTATCCAGAGAACATAATAAGGTTTCAAGATTTAGAAAGTCTGAACATTGGAATATGAAAGACTCCTTGGCACAAGAATAAAAGGAAGCAAATCAATCCAAACCCAGAGGCTGTCTGGAATTTCATCAAAACTTCTGGTGGTTTTGGTTGAGCTGTCATCATAATGTGGTACATCCTTCGAGCAAAGGTGAGGTAGGAGAATGATTACATTCACAGGTTGGAGAGAGAGAAACCCAGTATTATTTATTGATTTCTTTTTAAATAGGAGAAGTGAACCAGTCCTATTCATTTCATCATCCATGTTCCCTTTGGTGCATTCAGACAGCTGTTCAAATAGTAAGTGGATGGGGAGGAAGGAAGAATTTTTTGAGCAACAATTAAATGTTTAACAACCTTGAAACATGTAAGAACAAGCACCGCAACAACATAGATCTTATACTGGCCACAAGTTTTGCTACAATGAGAATTATAAAAGCCCACACACAAGTAGAAAAAGAACTGTAGCAGGCAATAATTAAACAACTGGTGGGAACTTACTACCATTTTCTATGAGATTCCAAGCCCATCTCTAACAAATCCTACTTTCTAATGTCAGCAAATAGCATATGTAACATAATTCAAATTATGTCCTCTGGACGGGGAAGATAAAATACTAAGCATTTTTATTATTACCAAACAAGCTCCAAATATTTCATGCTAGTCATGGAATACCTATAATGGTAAAATGCAGTAGCAGTGAAAATTATACAAATACCTTGCATTTTTTAAAAGAAAGCACTCAAATGGATTACATTTTAAAATGAGAGATGTTAAGATTGTGTAACATTATTTCATATGGGAACTTGTTTGGGGTTGCTCACCTCACAATGAAGTGGAACAGGATGACTTCAGCACCTGCAAGCCCATTGCAAAATTCTATTGTCACTATATGCACACAGCCATGCCCTCACCACTACAAGTTACTTTAATGTTCATTTGCTTATTTATAAATTCAAATTAGAACCTACTTAAATGGCAATAACAACTTGGAAAGTATCCGCTGAAAATTTTAGTTTTTTCTCCAATTGCTTGAAATTATCATTGTAACAAGGTCATCAAAATCTGTGAAGCAGCTCCCTGGCATCCGTATATCATTTTACAGAAGCAAACAGATACACAAACATTGACTTATAGCCCAAACTGCTATATTGTTACAGCACAAAGCTCTAACGTTTTGGAATAATCACAGCAGAGTGGCTAAGAGTAATCACATTTATTTGGTAAAATTAACAATAATGGTAAAATGTGTGCTACCAGTCTGCTACCGTGCACAATTCAAAGTGCAGGCCTTGGCCTATAAAGCTCTATGTAGTTTTGGCCCAGCTTACTTGTCTGAACATATCTCCCTCTACAAGCCACCTCAAGAGTTTAGGATTGTTGGGGGAGGCCCTATTCTCGATCCCATCACCCTCGCAAGCATAATTAGCAGGGACAAGAGACTGGGCCTTCTCGGTGGTGCCCCCCCCCCCCCATCTGTGGAACATATTCCCCAATGAAATCAAGTTGGGCCCCTCTCTCCTATCCTTTAGGGGGGGGGAAAGCTCAAATCATGGCTGTGGGACCAAGCATTCAAGCAGCAAATGCAGCAATAATAATGCAATGATTCATGAGATTGACAATGGACAAACCTTGGATTGTGACTCTGGATTCGGATTTGGATTTGGTTGTGTTTAATATTTTAAACTGATGTTTATAATCTGTTGATTTTAACTAATATAATATATTGTATATACATATAATATTTATATTATAATATAATACAATCTAATACTAAAATAATAATACAATATTGTAATTATATATTTTATATTACATGTAATATTACTAATAATATTACAATATAATGGTATAGTACAATATAGTAATATATAATACTGATATTGTACTATGCTAATAATATAATATATTGTATGTATATATATCTTGTAAGCCACTCTGAGTCCCCTTCAGGTAAGAAGGGTGGCATATAAATGTCGTAAATTAATACATAAATAATGTTTAATTGTGATTTTTTTTGCTACTGTTTGTTGGCATCTAATGGTTGGCAGTTGTAAGCTGCCTTGAGTAACCCCCCACCTGGGGAGGGGGGGGAGGATGGGATAAAAACAGCATGTGAAAGGCAGATTTCCGTACCCATTTTTGAGTTGGAAGACCTGCTCAGGATCACATTATATTGTGATTGCAATTTAGTGGTCATGTGAAAGCTCAATTGCATATTGTCACATCTTCCCAAAATCCTACTTCCTAATAAAAACCAATTCTCCCTGTAGGGTACTTGTGTAGACCTTTTTTTTATTAAAAAAAACTGCACCTTTCACATACCAAAGAGAGGCATCTGCAGGCATGAGGTACAAACGTGAAGTAGAAAAAACATCTTGGAAAGAGTCCAAAGGGAGAAAAGGTCAATGAGAACAGAACAAGTTCAACTGCCATAACATGCTGACGAGTGCAGTGGTAGGATGGAATGGAGTATCCTATCCTGGAAAAGGATACAACTGTTTGGCTTGCCTCCTTTGACAGAAGGACTCTGTGCTGGAAAGCTGTGTTGTAGTCCATTTGTCAGGTCTTTGAATTTCCAGTTTTGTAAGGATAAGTTGATTCCTTAATTCTTGTCTTTTAACTGGTAAAAAGTTACCTTTTAATTTAAATAGGCATGAAGTGTTAGTCACTTGCTGCAAAAAGTGCTTTTCACTGGATGGCTAGATATTGTGTTATTCAATGCATTTCTAAATGAAGTTTT